GAGTACTGCATCCAGCTCTGGAGCCCTCAGCACAAGAAGGACATGGAACTGTTGGAGCAGGTCCACAGGAGGGCTACAAAAATGATCTGAAGTCTGGAGCACCTCTCCTATGAGGACAGGCTGAGAGAGCTGGGGTTGTTCATCCTGGAGAAGAGAAGGCTGTGGGGAGACCTGATTGCGGCCTTTCAGTACTTAAAGGGGGCCTATAGGAAAGATGGTGAAAATCTTTTTAGTAAGGCCAGCTGTGACAGGACAAGGGGTAATGGTTTTAAACTAAACCAGGGTAGGTTTAGACTGGATGTAAGGAAGCAATTCTTTACAGTGAGGGTGGTGAAACACTGGAACAGGTTGCCCAGAGAGGTAGTGGAGGCCCCATCCCTGGAAACATTCAAGGCCAGGTTGGACGGGGCTCTGAGCAACCTGATCTAGTTAGCGGTGTCCCTGCTCACTGCAGGGGGGTTGGACTAAATGACTTCTAGGGGTCCCTTCCAACCCAAAACATTCTATCATTCTATACTTTTTCCAAATGTGCTGTTTTAAGTGACAAAATTGCTACATGCTCTTTCTCGCTGGGCTGGATTTTTTTTGTTTAATGGAAAATAAAAAGATTTGATTCAGCAGGCATATGACAATGAATATAGGAAGTATTTGGTTAAGCATCTCTTATGCTTCCATAAAGGCAGTCAAGTATATTAAATTTTTTGCCCTAGAAAGAAAAACTTAATCAGACTACCATATTTACCTATCATATATATTTCCTTTGTACCTTCACCTGCAGGTGTCTTCTGTATTTAGTGCTAGTAAAACTGTGTATAGTGACCATTGCAAACAAAAAACTGTTATCTTTTAAGTATTTTTGGTCTTATATTTTATTGGGCCTTTTTATTTTTTCTTAAATGGGGATGCCTTTTCTGGTGTAATACATATTTAAAATCTGATGAAAAGTAGCAGTGGCATTTTCATGGGGAAAAAATTATTTTTGTACTGCTTAAAACTGTAGAATATTTTTCTGATAACTTTTTTTTTTTTTGGCAGTTGTACTCGCTAAATGATTATAAGCCACCCATTTCTAAAGCTAAAATGACACAGATCACCAAGGCAGCAATCAAGGCTATAAAGGTAAGAAACTGGCTAACTTCTTTTGACTTCCTTTCCATTTCTCATCTGTGTCAAAATAACTGAATACCTTAAAGAACTTGCTACAGAACTTTCCACCTCTGTTGTTCTGTGTACAATTTCCAAGTTACGATCAAATGTGATAGTGATGGGATTTTCAGGAGTGCAACAGAAGGCTTAATTCGTTGTATGACTTGCATTTGCTGGTTGTCTTATGTGAGAAAGAATTATACCAACTTGACTCTTCAGTCAGATCTGAATGACAGGGTTTTTTTCCTCATTTTACAAAGGAAACACTGACATTGAGAACAGAAGAATAAATATAAAACTGCAATTCCCCCCTGCCCCACCCTAAAATTTAAGATTATGTGTGCCTTTGGATCAATACAGTTCTTTAAGTTTTATTTCATTGTTATAAATTCCTAACATACTTTTTCATGGGTGGGGTTCCTAGATTTTATTTTCTATGTTGCTTGCCAAACAGCAATGGACAGCAGAAAACAGTGCTGAAAAATGATGGAGGAAAGAAGTATGCCATTAGTGTTAGGCATTAAAACAAATGGAAAACCAGTGAAAGCTGGAGAGGTGAAAAAGAGGATAAGATAAAAGCTAAAAAGCCATGAACTTATGCTCTTCCTGTCTACGTTCCTCTGATGAGAATGGAGATACATTTTCAGATAATGAAATCCGTATTAGGATTTTGTGTAATTTGGAGAGAGAGCAATTTGGTGACAGACATGTGAATTTCACTGGCTTTCTTAAATATGAGAAGTTTGTGTAAATTAGTCTGTGTGTTGCAGTACAGTGAAAATGCTAAAAACTTGTACTGAACATGAAAAAGTAGCAGATGATTGTAAATGGTTCTATAAATTAAAGAATTAAATGTTGCCAAAATGTTTTATCGTGTATTTAACTTGGAAATCCTGCTTCCACTATTACCATTTCAGTAACAACATTTAATTGTTAACAGCATTTAATTTTGTAGAGAAGTTACTGAGATGATGTAAAGCCATTGTGATGATTTGTGAGATGTAAAAAAAAAAGGGGGGGGGGGGCAATTTTAAAAAAAAGGTATTCTGTAGATGTTATAAGGTCTTCCTGTACTCATGCTTTTAGGTTATTCTAGTGAACACTTGGAAATAAATAAAATACGAAGAAGTGCTATGCTTAGTAACATTAGGCTAACTTCTTCGGTTGTGTACAATGAAATAACCATATGTTTTTGAAGGAACAGTTATATTATTCTCTTAGCTCTCACTAAATTAGTGCACATTATTTTAAAAAATCCAGCGTAAAAAACCTTCAGAAGGCAAGAAAAACTCAGATGAGCGTTTTTATATGCTGTTAAATGTTAAGGAAGACAGCATTCTCAGTTGCGGGTACTGGATTGCTGCTTAATCAACCAAAGTTTCTAATTCTGGTTTTATAGTCAATATTGCATGACTTGAACAAGTATATGCATCTTCAGATTTTCTCCTCTATTGAAATACTATTTTATTTTCCAGTTCTACAAGCACGTTGTACAGAGTGTTGAGAAATTCATTCAAAAGGTAAGTCAGTCATGGGTTTTTTTGTGTTAGCACTGAGAAAAATTTCCTCATTTTGGATTACAGAGTATTGAAGACCATCAGGTTGTAGGTACACATTTGGATTAATATTTTTTTCACACATTAGTTTGTTTCAGTTTTTAGTCACATTCAATTTCTACTAGTAGTTGGTAGCTGATCATAACGCATGATGTAGAAAGACAAATACTTTGTCCACCTTTTGTGGTTATGATCTGAATGATTGTGGATACTGTCTTAGGACTACTTCTCTGTGTGTACTCATTTGATGTTAAAAGAGCCTGTCCGTGTAGCCCACGTGAACAGCTAACAGCAAAAGAATTGGTAGTGGTTTGGCAAGTGACAGTTGCTTTTGCTTGTCTGCCAGGTTTCCCATAAATTTTAAAGCTGAAGGGAAGATGACCATTCAGCCTCATTTTTTGTGTAGCATTTCAGTTGGTGGTTCTTGCTAGTAATTTAAAACAAAAAATATTTATGTGGCTAGACAGCAGTTACTATTTGGGAAGATGCACTATTAATTTAAAGATTCTGAATAACAAAGAATTTTATCGCATTTTATTTTCTTGGTAGACTTAATTAATCTTGGGTAAAGCTGCATTTTTGTCTCTAGTTGGAAATGCATGGATTCCAATTTGTGAGTCTTTCCTCCTTGTCTGCATTGTGCTTGATTGTTCAGTTGGTCATTTTGGTACTGAATTTCTTCTTATGATCAAATTGCCTTTTTGTTTTGACAAACAAGCTAGAGAAGTTAATCTGTTAATGTTTCAATGTTGGATGCAGTTTTTCTTCCATTGTCCGTTTTATGAAGCAGTCAAGGTTGCTCTGTGTCAGTAACCTGTCTTCCTCATTGCCTCCTATTCAGTGTATGCTGCAGTGCCTTTTGGTTCAGGGTTCAGCTTCAGGCTGGTGTTTTTAGCTGTCTCAGAACAGTTCATTAATGAATTATTTAGGTACTAGAACATCAGTCCTATGTGGAAAAGGTGTCATATGTATGTTTCATGGCACTAGTAAATATTAGTATACTTTAACATCACTGCTAGTGTTTTGTCAAGTAGTTGTCTTTTGGGGCATCGCTTCTGACTTTTTTCCACCTCTAAGGAAAGGGATCAATATCTTCTGGTCCCTGTTTAATACTACAGGTGGACATAGGAGGATGAGAGCCGGTGTACATCTTCTCCATCTCTGATCAGTAGCACTTCACAGTTTCATGTCCCGACATTAACCTGAATTGCCCAGGTTCCAAATACTGCTTTTTAGTTGCAGTGGCTGTGGTGGGCAATTCTGTATTCAGAGACATGAGAGAAGATTTATCCTCCGAATGAGAGAGTGGTAGTTTGTCAGGAACTGGACTAGTTGGTTGTGACCCTTCCACAAGCTACTAAGAGTATGGGTTGTCTTCACACATTTGTGTTTGGTGTCCAGTACTACTTGATAAGGGGGTTCTGCACTGTACCTTGCTGGTTAGAGAAGGCAGATGTATGTTGTTATTGATAACCTTGTTAAAGATCGCTCTGGACTAGATGTTTCCTTTGAGGCTTGATGTGGGTTTTTTTCCGTATTTCATTAACTATTTAGTGACACACGCAAATTATTAATAACATCAAATAGTAAGTTCTTATTTTAGTAGATTTGGAGATAAGGAGATGAAAGCCCTTTTTTAGGCATTTGATATTTATGGACTTAACTTGTTTAGAAGATAATGGGATTATTTTTCTGGAAGCAATCACCTCAAGTTAAGGCTGAAAACTGCTGAATCTTCCATTAAAATTTGCCATAGACTTGTCCAGAGTGATGTCAGTGCCATCTCAATTAGTTTATTGTTGATTCTTTCCTGTTTCAGTATTTTCTTTCTTCAAAATTAATCTCATGAGGTTCCTGAAACTTGAGGTGAAGTAATTGTCCATGACAATCTTTGTTTTGTGACACTTAACTCACTGGTCAGTTGTCATTTTGGTTGACTTTTACTCTCTGGCAAAACATCACTTCAGGGGTCAAATGACCACATTCCATGTATGTAAAGATACTCCACTGTGAGAGCAAGGTTTGAGTAATTTCTTTGAGTAATCAAAGAATCTTATTGCTTGGACTCACTAGGAAAATAAAGGAACATTTTTTGTGTAAAAACTTGTCTCATCTCAGATTGGGGATACGCAGGCTCACTGTCCCAGCTGTCATTCTTCTTAATTTTTTAATTTGTGTTTTATTGTCTTTTCCTTTTTTGTCATCTGTATTATTATATTAACTATAATATTTTTTTGCTTTTTGTATGTGCCATGTTTTTAAATACTCTACCTAGCATATTTGCTGAGTTTTCTTACTAAATGTATCTGGTTTTTATTAATTTCAGTGTTGTGAAAAGTCATATGCCTGTTTGTTCTGTATGCAGAATACTCTTATTTTTGGTAATAATTTAGCTAAAATTTGAGTAGCTACAATACATTGAAGTGATTCTCTGAAGACAGTGTGTTATATGCAATTAGATTTTAATTTAATAATTTCAATAATGCACAATTATTCTTAAAAGGATGCCACACACTCTCTTGAAAATAAAGAATGCCATCCTTAAAAAAACTGGACCATATTCAGAGCCTAAATAAGTGCTTTATCAAGGTTGCAAATGTTAGCAAATCAGCACTTTTCAAAACAGGACGTTTGTATCTAGGCTATGATAAAGCTAGGAGTCTGAAGAGTTTGTTCAGCACCGTATTAGAGATGATGAATTTAGTGTGTTACATAGGATGTTTGTGGACTGTCCGGACAGGAGAGGGAATGGGTGTACTTACCCATGTTTTCCTTAGTACCTTGTGTGGTAAGTGTGTACCACCAATATTCATGGAGTGAATCCATGTCATAGTATATTCTGGTGATGACTTCATTATATTTCTGTACCACTTTTCATTCTGTCTTAAAACTGATCGCACTAGTCTGGTACAATTACTTTGCACTTAAAAAGCAAAAAGTTCAGCTTTAATTGTTAAGTAAAATTACCTAAGTAATTGGTATTGTAGTTAGCAGACATGCTTTATAAATACAGTGCTATTTGTAAATTATGCAAGTTTTCTGCAGTTTTAAAATAAGTATCACTGGTATATTTTCAGCCAAACAGATGTCCACATAAATATGTTCTTGTTCTGGTGGGAGCAGGATATACCACATGCTACTTACAACAATGTAAAATAAAGTAAACAAATGCTAACTTTAATGTTGGCTTTGATCATAAAGAAGGACAAAAATATTTTGAGCTATATTTACATCTAGTCCCAATGTACTGTTAAAAATTCATTCATGCTTTATGCTGTTCTCTTAAAATAGGTGTGTGCATTTTAAAAGGGTATATGATTCATGCGCCAGTTTTGAATAGCTATATTCTAAAAGTTTTTTTAGTGGTAGTAAATTGATTTTAAACCATTTACATATTTGCAGAATGCATATAGATGCGATAATTTGAACATTAAAGGTTAGCTGGTTTTGAGAGTTTTGTTTTTCAGGAGAATTTGTTAAATAGAGGATGTTGTGATAATACTTTGACCCATTTAAAAATTAGAGAGGGCTGTTCTTATTTATTCTGCCATTAATGGTTTTTGGTATTTTTCACATCTACACATTTTAAATTACTGTTCTTTGTAGTGCAAACCAGAATACAAGGTACCTGGTCTGTATGTGATTGACTCCATTGTAAGACAGTCCCGGCATCAGTTTGGGCAAGAAAAGGATGTATTTGCTCCAAGATTCAGCAATAACATCATCAGCACTTTCCAGAACTTGTACCGCTGTCCTGGGGATGACAAGGTAAACCACTTATTATAGGTTTTTTTCTAATTAAAACAATCTTTAGTATGTTATCTATAAAGAACAAAGATTTTCATCTCACTTGTTGCTTGCTAGAGTGGATCTAATTATAGACTTACACATTTATATGTATGTATTTTAATTTTGCTGTCTGAATTTTAGGGATGGGGAAGGCACAATTAGAACTTTGAAAAGGTTTTCAGGAAGACTGGATAGATTTGAGCTAATGTATTTTGATAGGAAAAAAATTGAGCAGGCATTTGGTAGGACAGGGAGTTGTAGTCAGTCTTCTACTGTCTTCTTCCCCTCTTCAGTGAGAAAATGATGAGCAGGTTTTGCATAGTGTCAAGGAATAAATAATCTTTCTTGGCAGCAGTAACTTCAGTGTAAACTAATGTGTTTTGGACTGAAGGAGCAATAGAAGAACAGCAAAGTATCTTAAAAGTTACATTTCCTTTGATAATGTATCAACCAACAGCTGAATAGGGCTTAACTTGAACAGTTTGACCCAACAGTGCATCTGTTCCCTTGGACCATTGTAGTTAAGATCGCTACCGAATTATCTTTTTAATAGGCTGGCTGGAAATAGCAGAGGGTGCAGGCAGTTTAATTTCCTTCATAGTTGTCACTGATCTTACAATAGCTAGTTTGTTATTATTGAGTTGGAAAATTACAAAAAGATGTGAAATGCTAAGGGCTTTATCTCCACATAAATTTGTGTAATAGAGTCATTAAGTCAAGTAGTAAGTGAGGCAGGACACTGCAGGAAGGCAACAGGTTTTTTGTTTGTTTTGTTTAAAAATCAAGCAGAAGTATAGTAGCATTTTATTGAAAACAGCAAAAAACCCCCACTGATTCCTTTGTCTGGCTCAGCCATGGAAAATGCAAGGGGGAGATAGATAATGAGGTGCAGAAATAGTGTGCGGTATTCCTGTTCAGGATAGGAGAGGGAAGTTAGAACCTCTGATGGACTTGGGGACTGCATTACAAAACAAACTTTCAGAGAAGAAGGGCTCGCATACTGTAATACTGAATGGAAGCCTTCAGAGATTTCTTTAAAGGAACACTAAATTTCCATGCAGTGAAAATTCAGCACTTCTCTCTATTAAATTTAAGTAGCCTCTTGGAATTCTGGGCAAACAGACATTTTTTTTTTCTTTGTTTTAAACATTGTGTGGTTAAGTACTCTGTGTTCATGTTTTATAGAATTTAATTAAACCATCTTTGTGACAGCAAACACAGGATCCTATGAAGAACTTTCTGTTCTTTATAATACAACTTTTTTTTTTTTTTTCCAAATAAGAAGGGTGTTTTTTTCCATCACATACATTCCTATCCAGCTTCTCAAGATCAAGCAAAATCTTGCCTCTGGGTAGAAGTAAAGCTTAGAAAGGAAAAGATTTGAGAGCAGATTTAAACAGAGGAATAGAAATGTATTTGCAAGCTGAACAGTGAGTTACATCTGATGGAATAGTATGAAGTCTCAATTTTGATTTTTTTTTTCCTTCCCTGTTATCCATATTTTCAATATTACTATGTAATTTCAATAGGCAGGGAATTGTTTTTCAGTTTAAGTTCCTCACTTCATCAAGAGAACTTGCAAAATATTGAGCTACTTTCCTAATCGTATTTAGCAGTCTTATATGCACATTTTTAAGTGGATATAAGTAATTTTGGTTCATAGGTAGATCAGAATTGTATTCATATATGTTGACTATAACAGTTTAGGAGACTAATAATTCCTTGCTTTAATTATTAATAATGCTTTACAATGTTTCCTTAAAATAATTTACCTTCCATACTGTCTTCTAAGAGTAAAGGTATAAAAGTGTCAGATACATTTGTTTTGTTTTACTATATTTCATTTTCTATTGAGAGAAGACTCTCACTATGTACATAGTGTGTCTTTACAATTGCCTAGGCATCCTGTATAGGTCAGCCTCCAGTTCATAGGTTAGACATGTTTGGTGTGGCCCTGTGTAGCTGTTCTTACGGTTCTTACTGTTTATAAACCTAAAGGTGCTTCAATCGAGACAGATTGACATTGCTTGTTAAGAATTCCATAATTGAAAATAACAAGAAAGATAAGCATGACTTGGGTCTTTTGTTATCCTTTCTTCATTTTAGAGTAAAATTGTTAGAGTGCTAAACTTATGGCAGAAGAATAATGTGTTCAAGAGTGAAATTATTCAGCCTCTCTTGGATATGGCAGGGGGAAA